GACCCACCTATGGCACTGCCCTGGTGCAGCTCGAACATATAACAGGTGTGAGAAAAGGCTTCAGCAGAGAGCACTGCTGGTCCCATGGTTTCTATTCCCTCCATTCTCCATACATGTGTGCAATGCTGGGTGTAAATAACACAGACAAAAGTTAACCTGTGAGCTTTCAGAGCACCACGCAAGCCTGCAGGGTTACCCTTTGCATCCCAGCAGTGAGAGGAAGGCAGGCAGTGAATGCAGAGCCTGCTGTATTGCATGCCCATGCTTTCACACTGCCAGAAGTGCTGCCCAGCCATGCTGGACCCATCAGCCAGGCAGCAGAATGGGGGGCAGATGCCTCAGATTAATGAGTCTCCCAAGTGGCTTCTTGTCCACCTGTATGGAAGAGCAGCCATCATTACAGCAATACATCATTTCCACTTCAGTCTGTCATTAATTTCTAGTTGTGTATAATGAAAAAGCTGAGAGCAAAAGGAGCTGCTCTCAAATAGGGATGTTTCTCTGGGGTATCTGCACAAGGTAAGCTGGGCCATGCTTGCAGATGCTCAGTTCACATCACAGCAGCCTCTTAACAAACCAGACACTCCTGGGGACTGCAGGCAGTGACAGTAGGGCCACCCCAGCACTGAGCACAGGTCACTACTGTTACTCAGTGTGACTGGTCCCAGCAGAGGACAGGCTGATGAAGCACAAATGGCCAGAATCCACCCACCAAAATTTCTAACGGATAAACAGAAGGTCTGATCCCACTTCTCTCCAGATGTAAAACCCCAGAGGAAAAGCTGCACTGCCTGAAACCAGCCAGGAGAAGGAGTCAGCCCAGAACAACTGCTGCCCAAGAGGAACAAGGACACAGAGGACAAACAACAAACACAGCCACGGAAAAACGGATGTGAAAAGTGCAGGAGCTGACTGGGACAGTGACCCTTTCCCCAGCTAATGACACGTGCCCTCCATCAAGGCAGAGCTTTAGACAGCCCCCAGGAGCACAGTTGTTCCCTAACCGCCTTTCTCCTGCCTTGGACAATGAATAGGCTGCAGAGGTGTAAGTGAACGTAGCATTCATGGTGTACAGATAAATGGCGTCACATAAAGTAAGCAGAGGAGAAGAACTAAGAAAGAAAGTGAGAATCCTTGCAAATGTCTTATCTCAGAATGAAAGAAAAGAATCACAGCCAAAGCTATCATAAAGATAACTTCATACAGGCACTGTCATATAAGTTCTCAGTTGTCTAAATCCAGACCTAGAGGAAAAAAAGGACAGGTCTCACAATCTCTCCTGCTTTATGAAGACAGTGACCTCATCCTTCTCCCAAAAGGTTTCAGGTAGTGGACCATCTCCCTGCATGCTTAACACTCATCTCATATTCTAGGACTTGGTCGATGGAAGCAGCTGAGAAAAACAGCACCATTCACCTGAAAGAAAATACAAACACTCAAAGATACACGCTGCTTACACATTTTTGGGTGGTCATATGGAGCCAGGACTTGGACATGATGATTGCTACGGGTCTCTTGCAACTTGGGATATTCTATGATCCTATGAAAAAGGGTTGTTGCTCCAAGAGCACCCAGCACCAGGCAAAAGCAACACCTCTGTTCCTAACCAGCAGGTTGAGCAGAAACAGGAAGGTTCCTGCACCAATGCACAGAGCTGGGACAGCAGATCTCAACTCTGGTCTTAGCTTTCCTAGGAGCTTTTTTGATGGCTCTACCAACCTTCTGATGGCTCTGCAAGATTGGCCTCTCACACAGGGCCCAGAAGGCTTAATTCTTTAACGATTCCAAAGCATTCAGACATCTGGAGAGAAGTATTATTCAATTACTGTTATGCCAAGGGAAAACCTCTCTTCCATAATCCCAGCTGCAACTATGCAGTAATCTTTATTAGTGCACTCATGCTACGTGATAACATTAGGAAGTATCTACTGCAGAGCACGGGCAGCAGGCAACTGCAACTGTGGGAACCGTAACTCAGCGTTTCCTGACAGGGGTGATTAAAATCTCAAACTTAGTGTAATATTAACACTTTCTCAAGAGACTGACAGTACATATGCCCTGTTTACTCTACCAACTCACAGCCTGCGCAGTAAGCTGCAGACAGTACTATCACGTTTAAGATCAATATAGACCCAAGGCAAACGAAACTAGTGGCACAGAACAAGTAGGACTCAGCTCCACAGCTATATGGCTGCCCAATATACCTGCCCAGTATAGCTGCCCATTGATTCAGTCTCCTTTTTTGCTTTTCTTAGTGGATTCCTACACAAAGTCAGGTAAGCAGGGCACCGGATCACTCTGCACTCTCAAGTCTCTGCACACCTAGAAGCACACAACGTATGAGAGACCACAGAAAACAGCCAAAAGAAAAACAGAATGAAACTCCAAAAGGCTGCAGACGTAACGGACAAACCCCAACCACAAAAAGGGAGGCTGTGACCCAAACACTTCTGCTTGCTTTGTCCCATGTCCTCCATGCCAGCACTGCCAAATCATTACTTGGGAAGATGCGCAGCCCTTGGTGTAGACAAGTGGCACATGCTTTCAGTTCTCCATTTACCTACAATAACACGACATAGCAAACAGTGGAAAAAGCAGCTATGCCAATTCTCTACCAAAACAGAGAGTGCCAAGGCAAATTGCCAGCCCTGCACACCGCCTGTCTTCGTCACAGTGATAGCTGCAGCACGAACCGCCCTTCTGCAGCCTTGCGGTCACACTTTATTTACTCCTTTCAGCTAACTTCTAACCCTGAAATAAAGTTGTGATGTTTCTGTTTTTATACAGGGCTACAGAGAGAGGGAAAAAAAAACAAAAAAAGCACCGCAGCACCGTAGAAGTATGCACAGAGCAGACACTGACAGGTACAGTGCGCAGATGTGCAGGTCCCAGGAGGGATGCATTCAGCATCTCCCTGCCCAGCCTCTCCCTATACCTCTGCCTGAATGCAGTCAGATCTGTTGGGTTCTATGATTGCATTGTATCTGCTCCTGAAAGCTGAACACTTACACATTTTATCCTATACAATTCCATTCTTTGGCTCAGCAACAGCTGATGCCCGAGGAGCTACCTGCAGGTTTTAACTGTCAGAATAGATGAAAGAACACAGCTTCAGCCTTTTCAAGGGCTAAAACCACCAAGGAAGGTACAAGGAGGCAAGGACACAGTTTAGACTCATTTCCCTATGATGACACGCAAGCACTGGCACACTTCCCCCGGGAGAAGAGCAGTTCCCTTCTGCCCCAGCCTGCATGGGGAACGCATCTGCTGGAGGCAGAGGCGCTGCCAGGACCGAGGCTGCTGCCTCCTCTGGCCCACGCAGGGCCTTCCGAGGCCAAACAGTGCCACACAGTGGCAACATGCAGGTTCCTCAGCTTCTCTCCAACCCCCTGAAAGCACACAAAAGCCTCCCAAATTGCTGCAGCTTTTTATCCGGTCCCAGCTTCAGCACACGGGAACTTTGGGAGTGATGCAGATGTAAGATTTCTTCCTCACCTGGTTATTTTTAATCCAGGTCAGTTTGGTGACACAGTCACGGTTCAGATCCACAAACAGTTGCACCAACAACATGAGTGGAATGGTGCAGCACTGCAGCCCGAGCAGAAAAATCTTGGCTGCAAAGAACACAGTGCCCAAACCTGCACCTTCCACTCCCCTGCCCTTTTGCCTTTGTGTTTCTCATTTGCAGCCCCTCGGCACCAGAGAACCTTTCCATGAGCCAATATTTCAAACTGATGAAGAGATGAAGAGTAAGGCTGTGCGATCTGAACATGCATTGCCAGTGGCCTGCACTTCAGAAAGCACAGCCCTCACAGAACAGACCAAGAGCAAGCTCTAGCAAACATCATCACACCCTAAACAACCAAACATCACTGCCCCCCACTTTGCTAGTGGCTATGCTACCTCACCTGGCAGTACTGCAGAAGAGAAACTCCCAGTGCCTCAAAAACTCTCACAGCATTTTATATAAAAGCTCTGCATCAGTGATTTATGGAAACCCTAAAGCTTGGCACATTCCTTTCAACAATGCTGAGGCAGCAAAGGTCTCCAGAAGAGAAGCTGAGGAGAGGGAAAACAACCGAGGGCAGTAACATCCAAAAAATGCTGCTGCAGTGTGCCAGAGCTTATCTTTCAAAGCCCTAAGACTTCGCCCCAGTTCCACCCAGCTGAAGTCACAAACTAGTTACAAAAGTGCAATCATATTTGAGAAGCTCTGGGCCCCACAGTATGCAGAGAAGACCTTCCCAGTTCTGCTAAACTCACATCCTTAACAGCCATTTTAGGACAGGCAGTCCAGAGCTCCCTGGCAAGTCCTCTTGCAGGCCACATGTGCCAAAGCAGTGTGAGGATTCCTAGAGGATGAGCTTCCAACCATCACTGTCTTTGCCTACATTCCAGTGCCTGACAAACAGAGTTCACTCGGGCTCCTTGCACAAGGTACAGATCAAACAGACCGATGAGAGATGCTGCCAGTCACATTTTTAATCCTTACAGAAGAAACCAGAGAGTCTGGCCTCTCAGCAGAACAAGTAATGCAAATACAACACATACCATGGAAATTAAAACCACAGTTTTCACATCCCCAATGCAAACTTCCAACCACCTGGCAACGGGACAAATGACCCGCTTCCATAACATGCAGTAGAGCTACTTGGTCACCATTAACCCTGGTCTCCAGCATCTGACCTCATTTCCCACCGGTAACCTCACCCAAGTTAGAGCCTCCAGAAGAGGCATTTTCTGCTTCTTCTGTTTGTGCCTCTCCTATTCCATATCAGCCTCACCAGCACACGCTGCCAAGAAATGGATGGTAACAACATGCTTTAAACATGAGAGGCACGAGGTCACCAACTCCTCAGCCTGACCCAGGCACAGCTCCCATAGGGGAAGCCAAAACACTGGAAAATTTAGCAACAGGAAAGCAAAACAGATCCAGTGTCATTCCACTGCATTCCAAACACATGACACCAAAGCCAGCAGCCGCCTCCTGCAGTACTCACGTCGCTGGGGCTGAGGTTCCCAAGACCATTGTCCTGCTCAGAATCTCTGCCGGATTCGTGGCCCTGAGAGGAGCGGGGGTGGGAAGGATGGATCCAAATCTCCAGCCGTGTGGCATCGTCTCCAACTTGTCGCAACGTGGACTTCTTGCCTTTCCCTCGATGGCTGGGGCTCAGCTCCAGCACCTGGTGCTTCTTCTGCTCCATCTGCTCTGCCTGTGAAGATAGGACATGGTTAGATCATCCAGGGAGAAAAGTTCAAGAAAAATATATCATTTTATTTACACGGAAAAACTGGCTCTTGTCCCAGCTTAAAAACCACAGTAACTCACTGACAGTCCAAAATTTGGTTTCTGACACTACTCCTGTAGTGCAGGATAAGAGATCTTTATTATTAATATATTTTTTTTTAAACTCTGATTGCTCAATGGGAGAGGGAAAGCTGTATCCAGTTCCTAGCAGTGTTTAACAGTCAACATGCTGCATCTTTGATTTGAGGCACAAAGGGACTGCAGCTTCTCCTTCCTACCTCTATGGGACACCTATGGAATAAGGCAACGACCAAACTGCACGCTGAGGCCATGCTGCAAACCACAGCGACCTCCAGCCCTTACTGAGCTCGGCTGTTTTACAGTTTGTGACACAGAATTAAGAGATTCAGCTGCCTAAGCAACCCCAAAATCAGAGGAGAGGCAAAAAAATGCCATCATTTGGAAGACTTTGTTTTTCTTCCAACTCCCAACATGGAATTTCTTACAAGTAAGACTCGTAAGACTCCAAGACCAAAAGTCACCATCACCCTTCTCCCCCGTTTGCAGCTCTCCAGCTGTGGGTCAGCTCAGGCAGCTGCAGCATCCCACAGCCCAGCTCCAAGACTCACCTTGCGTTTTGTCTCTTCAAACAGACTCATGAGGCTCTCCTTGGCTGTGAGGATGGGGTTACTAGCTGCTAGACTGCGCATGTAGTAGTAGACAGCATCCAGCTTTCTCCTCTGCAAAAACACAACCAAACTCAGAGCTGGCATTCATTCTGGGAAACTCAGGGCAAAGCCCCCGCGCCATTCACTTTCCATGTTCCTCAATACACTTTCCTTCTCCCTCAATAGTGCCTGGGAGACAGATATTCACAGAGTAAGAGCAGTCCTACAAACAAGCTGGACCCTTCTCCATCCACATTCGTGACTATCTACAACATTCAGCACAAACATTTCACCAGGGTTAGGGAGGGCAGCTGACACTACAGCTTGCAGACCTGCTTGCTCTAGCCCTGAGGTTGCTATAGAAGCCATCAACCCAGGAGCTCACAAAAAAATCTCTCAGCAGACATAGTAATAAAGGGCATCAGTATAAATTCTGAATTCCTGACAGTTCAGGAAAAAAAAAACCAAAAAAACCTCCTTTCAACATTGTCATGAATATGGAAATTACTCCACAGAGGTACAGGAATACAGGAAATTTTGCCAGACTCCTGCCTGTGGTGAAAGATGCCCTCCTTATCTCAGTCTGCCACTCGAGCCACCTCTCAGCATCTGTTCACCCACAGCCCTGCCGCAGGGAATACTGTAAGATATCACTCCTTGAGTCTTTATACCATCGAAACCCACAGCCATTTAGGGCCTTACAGAACACCACAGCAGGGCAGGATACTTGGCAGCCTTAAGTCCCACTTGGGGAGTCAGAAAAGTCATTCTCAGCCACAAGGAAACTGCATTTCTAAACCATGCAGTTCTGAACTAATATTCAAAAAAAAAAAAAAAGTCTTTTCAGTATTGCAAATGAGATCCTTACCAGTCCCCTGCCCCAGGCTGATGCCCCCATTTATCTGCTCCAAATCTTCCTTGAAACAAGCTTTCCTGCATGGCTAGAGGAGCCAGCAAAACTAAAACCTAAGAAAGCTGCATGTTGATGTCACTTAGACTATTCAAGTACAAAAATCTCACGCAAAACCTTAAATGCAGCCCACTTCTAATGCATGTGCACTCTCATCAGCCTGCAGAGCAGTCCCAAAAATGTAGATAGCCTGGGGCAGTAATGTGTATCTAGCAAAGCAGCCAGGAGCCAACAGCTGGAATCCACTGAACACACCCTGCCATCAACTTTGTTTTTAAAAAAAAAAACAACAAAAAACATCTGGAAGTGCTGCCTTAAACAATCTCTTTATCCACCAGATGGAATCCCACAGCCTTCCCAGAGGCTCTTCCTGTGCTTGCTACATCTTTGTATGATGAACATCTTACCGTATAGATGGCCAGGAGTGCCAGCTGGTTGTATGGGCGGCCGTTTTTGGGAGCAATTTGTTGAGCCTTCAGGTACCAGCTGAGGAATGGAAAAACCAGGGAAAAAGTTACTGAAAGGACATCAGGTTGCCTTCCTCACTGTGGAGGGCACAAAGTTCCCTCTGCAGCACTGGCAGCCCAGCACTGAACAGGCCCTTTGCACAAGTGCCCTCTGCCTGCATGAGTGTGCACAGCTAGTAAGTCTGTACCCAGTGCAGAGAGGAAAAGCCAGGGCACAGGACAAGAGGGAGAGGCAGACACAGCTGGAGAAAGAAATGTTCTTGGCTCAGCCTGAAGATGAGCATTTAGCCAGCTCCACTAAGTGTTGTCTCCAGTGCAGCCTCAGGCAGAAAACAGGCTATTTGCAGAATGCTTTTTTCTCCTCCCCCTTTTTAGTCTTTTTGGCAGCTGGGACCAAATCTTCCTGGCTGCTTAGCTCATTATTTAATTATCCCAGAAGAAGGGGCATCCGTTAAGAAGCAGCCCATTCCTCCCTCCTATTTCTCCTCAGTTGTATTATCCAGCTTATTTCATGCCACACAAATCTGTCAACACTGTTCAGATGCATAATGAACATGCTGTGCTCCTTCCAGCCCTGTAAGATATCAGTGTACTCTATGGTGCTCACTTCAAAAACAGGCAGCTTTCCCCACCCTGTTTCAACCTTCCACGGGTTTCAGGGCCCCATGCTGGGCTCAATTGCTCACTACCACTCTTTGCTCCAGGAAAATAAAGAAGATCAGAAAAAGTACTGTATGCCAGGCAAAACAAGAGTGATAGGAAGCAACAGGTGCCAATAACTTCTGATGCAGTCAGAACATATGGGCACATATGGGAATCTCTCCTAGCTGGGAAGCTAGCAGAAAATATATCAGTTTGCCAGCATCAGAAGCATAAACACTCCCTGCTGCAGGATCAGCACAGGACAACTTCCACAACACACAGCTGGAGGAAGATGGATCTGCTGGGTTGCTTTTTGGATAGAAAAGCAGTTCACACTATACCTTCAATTTACACAGGACTGCAGTACAATAAGGAGGCATGAAAAGACTCCTTTGGCTAGAAGCAAGCTTAAGCATGAAATGAGATGCATCCCTTGTAACTAGATAGAGGAAGAGCTTTACTCAGCCCTGGGGTGAAGAACACAATACCTGCGTGCCTTTCCATAGTTTGCAGTGTCATTTGCTTGTTCTCTGTATCGACAAATGTCCCCTTGACAAATCATACACCTCTGGGCACTGATCAGTGCATACTTCACCTGAAACAAAGCATTCAGAACGTCACTGCACATCCCAACTCACCTTAACACCCTGTGTGTTCATGGGGACTGTGAAGAGCTAAGAGGAAGACACTGACAAACTGAAGGTCAAAAACAAAGGCTGCAGAATTAAATGACAAGGCTCAGTGGCACTGGTTCAGCATTAGTAAAGGCAACCCAATCCTCCAAATATCTACTCCTTTACAGCAACATCCTAGCTCTTGCTCAGAGGAAGTAGGTTTCAGAATCAGTGCTTCATTCAGTCCAAGAGAAACGTGAGGAAGATAAACTGGTTAAACAAACACATCTCTCTGGGAATGGAGCTTGACTAAAATATCCTCTTCCAACTGTTCTCACACCTGCACTCACAGCTCAGGGCAATCAATGTCATGCGTCAGAGAGAGCCCAACTGTTAGCCTTCCTCATTCGTTTTTCTGCATTCCATATACAGAAGTACGAGTTGTTCAGTATCTGAGGCCAAGCCAGGGTACCTCTGACACTCCTTCTCCTTATTAGCCCTAGTCAAAGGGACGATACAAAAAAGTTCTTTCTTTGCAAAGGAAGCTGAGAAATGTTAATACACTGGAGTTAGTTCAACATGTTCTCTAACAGCTGAGATTCCCTGCAAACACACTGCTGTCTATTCAGACTACATCTGCCCACCTCTTGGCAAGGGCAGCATGCTGAGTGCTGAGTCCAGCATGCAGCATACCATTAACAGGAGAAGACTTCAGGAGAAAGCCAACCTACCATTTTCCGCAGAGGCTTGCAGCGGATGGCTATTCCATCCATATAGTCCTCCAGCTTGAACTGGTATGACACCTGCAGCTTCTGGAGTAAGCCATCAAAAAAGGAAGTGCCCTGCAGAACACATGTATTCGGTTGTTACAATTTTTCTGAAGACAAGCAGAAAATCTTAACACCGTCCTTTAGTTACTGCAAAGGTCCCTCTCCCTCTGGTTTGTGCTGTTCTCTTCAGAAAGCAATAAGGCAAGAGGATCTCCAGCTTCAGTTTTTTAGGGCTGAGCTAGACAAAGTCAAGACTGACCTGACTTTGCTGTAGCCACAGTCCTGCTCCAAGCAAGAGGTTGGACTGAAGCCTTCCAGCAGTCCCTTCCTGCCAACATAATTCTGTAAAACACATCCTCTTGGATTTATCAGCCTACCTTCTACAATGAGTAAACCGAGCTGAGTGTCTAACAGAATGACTTTTCACCAAATTTGATAAAGATAGCACAAACACCTCAGTGAATGCTCTTGTTTCTTTCCATTTAAAGATGCTTAGCTCATTTTAGTTTAAATCAATTTCTCATCAAAACAGAACAGACCAAAGCAAGCCTAGTTTAAATTATAACAAATATCCACGTGGACCAACACCTATTACACTAAATTGTAATCTGTCTGTGCATTCTTTTTGCAAAAGCATGGCCTAAGGCACACATAGCAATAAGCATGACCACAAAGGCTAGCTCACTGTCCAGTTATACCAACCTGTACTAAACACCAACCAGTCAAAGGTTTAGCAAAGCCTGGGGGTGTTTGTCTCCTCTTACCTCATCTAGAAGTTGGAGAAGTTTGTTCCGAATTTCTTGGGCATTTTCCCCCAGAGGATCTTTGAGGAGCTGCCGGAATTTCTCAATCACTTGGTAGAAGGCGTTCTTCCACAGCAGCTGGTCCACATTCTGGGTATCAGAGAACTCGATATCCATCAAAATGCACCGCTCGTACAGCTGCAGCATCTCCACCCTAGAGTGAGAGACAATCAGTGGTCAACATAACAGCCTGGCAGAGCAGGCAGGGAGCACGTGCTGAACCACCTGCTGCTCCTCATCCTGCAGGCATGAGATGTCAGCAGTTTGCTTGGCTCACACGCTATGGCAAATAGATGCTTCCACACATGCCCTAGAAAGAGATGGAAGCTGTTGTAACCAAACACCCCTTCTGCTCCAGCAGAGCAAATTGAAAGGACCATCTCTCTTTCTGCATGCGTAAAAAAGGATTAGGACTCACCAAAGAGCAAAAAGGCTCTGCTAAAGCTCTGCCTCTGGGAAGAGCAAGACCTAATTATCTCCTGAAAGTAATACAGAAAACAGCATACACTGCCAGGTTCTGCTGCTTCCAAGCACGAAGCCTAGCTACTAAGGGCCAGGAACAAGCACACAAAGCACCTAAGAGCAAGAGATCTTGCCATTACAGTGAACCTGCGTATCACTTCATGAAACCAAAACGCACGTTGGAATAACAAACCACGTTCCCCTCACTAACAAGAGCCCAGCTCAGACAGTGGAACAGAACTCCTATGCACAATTTGATGCAATGGAGATACGCTGCTGCTGGGCAGGGACCAACTGTACCTGTGCTCTGGGGAAGGGCAGCCCTCACCAGCCATGCCAGCACAGCCTCTCTCTAGATGCCATTAACATCCTAACCTGAAACCTCCAGTGCTGTTACCGGTGCATACACATCCCTCTCTGTGGTCTGTAATATGAGTCCCTCAAATGCAGAACAAGCCCTGAAAAGAGCTCAGCTGCCAGATTTACTGCCAGTCAGCTCTGAAATAAGCCTCCAGAGAAGCCCCAAAGACCACACGTAAATGTAGTAGATGCCAAGTAGAAACTTGCTCCAGTCATGTTAACTGCCCTCCCGAGTGCCAGCATCACTTTCCTCTTGCTAGGCTGTCCTCACCAGGCCATCCCCAGTGGACTGCCATATGTCACAGGGCTGAACAGTGTCAAGAACAAAAGTACCGGCACTTATAAAGCTCTGTCACTGCCACACAGCACCAGGAATCCACACAACACTTTGCAAGCACAAGCTGAGAGCTGCCGTGCTGAAGCCAGCAATGCGAATCAGCAAAGGCAGGTAATAAAGCAAAAGTACACCAGCAAATACCAAAAGTACGTGAGAGCCCTGGAACCAAGAGAGCCCAGCTCTAGCAAGAAGAACCCAAGAACTGCAGCAGATGCTTGTCCTGCTCCCATGCATGTCTTCAGCACAGGCAAAGCATTCCACAACCATAAGAAGCCACAATTTAACCCTCAGCCCAAGCCAAAGAGATATTTGCTCACAGTGCCTTTCTGATATCCAGACACCGCTGGCACATGATTAACATCCCCAACACATCATAAGATAGTGAACTATAGCCCCAAACCCTCAGATATCAATGTCCCTCATCCCCCAGATCCCCAGTGAGAAAACATTATGGAAAACAGCTCTGGTAGAAATTCACTGTTGAAATGACTCAACCACAAACCTCAGCTGGGCCATCTTCTCCAGCCCCTCTGGGCTGATGCGGTCTCTGGAAAGCAGATTGCTGAGCTGCTGCTCCTGGTTCCCAGCCTCACGGAGGAGTTTGCTGAGCTCCTGCTGCTGCATGTTCCGCATCTGCTGCTCCATCTCAGGACTCAGAGGAGCTGGGGTGAGTGGGCCGCACATGTACTGCCCTGCCTGGCCAGGGTACCCAGGGTAAAAGGCTCCTGGGTAAACACCATTGTTTGGACCCATTGGATACTGCAGGGAGTACCCGCCATAAGGATACTGCGGACCTTGGCCGGCAGCCCGAGGGTAATAGTAGGGGTTGTCAGAGTTTTGGAACTTATAATAGGATGTCTGGGCCTGGCGGGCTTCCCCCCAGGAGGTGGGACTCACTTCATCATCCGTGTCTAGGAAGTGAAGCTGTGGGGTTTGGCTCTTCAGGGCGGGTTTTTGGTCCGGGTTGTTGGGGTCCCACAACCTGCGAGCGGTGCCACCTCGGCCCCGGCTTCGGGAGCCCTTACTGCCAGCACCGCCCAGCAGCAGCCGGGGCCCGGGGTGACTGGGCTCAGGGGAGCCCGCAGTGCTGGCAGAGAGGTCTGTGTTGGCAGGCAGGAACAGAATCCCCCGGCCCCTCCCCTGGGGCTCTCTGCTTTGGCTCCTCGCCTCCAAAGTCTCTGAGTCGTTGCAACTAGAAAACGCCTTCACGGGCTTTTTTCTATCTGCGTCTGCTAGAATGACATCCCTGTTCATAGTCTTGCTGTCAAAAGTGACTCGGAAGTGTCCCTTGACTTCCTTGCCATTACTGCTCCAATCATTCTCACTCCTAGAAGCTCGACTCTGCTCTAAACGCTTTTTCCTGTCTGAAATCCTGTTAGAGACATACGCTTCTGCCTCATCGATTCTGTCATCATCCAAGGAGTCAGTGGAGGATGCAGAGAGCTGCTTCCTAGGACGTATTCTAGCACGCTCCTGCCGTCTCTCCATCCCATCCACCAGCGGGGTTCCATCTACACTGTTGTTGCTTCCAGCTGAACTCGTGCTGCACGTGCGGTATCGGCTCCGCCGCTTGTCAGAGCGGGAGTACCGCTTTGTAGCGCCCAGCTTCCCTTGCATCACTTCATCGTGTGCCCTCCTCATCCTGTCACTTCGCTCTAGTCGTCTTCCTTTATCCACCCTAGAGGATTTCACTCCATCCCCTGCCTGGTTTCCCTCTCTTTCCTCTTTGTTTGACTTGGTTTTCCTGTTGTTGTCTTCTGCAGTACCTTTCTCAGTCTCTTCACCTCCTTCAACTCTCAGCTGTTCCACTTTAGAGGTGATTTCCTCAGTAGGCAACCGTAGGGCAACTTCTTTAGCAACCAAATGCATGCGCTTCCCTGGCTGATAGATCTGCTGGTCCGGTTTCTTGATTCTCCTCGTGGTCTTGGCACAACACTCATCCGCCGCAAGCGGCGTGCATGAGTTCTCCTGGCTCTGAGGACCACCTTTAGTCTCTGCCTCTTCATTTCCCAACGAAGGACCATTCTGGTTATGGCTGTCACCATGCTGAAGTTCTCCATGACTGGAGGCTCTTCTCCTGAAGGATCCTCCTCGTGAAGGGCCACTCTCCCCCTTGCCTTCCTCAGCTCCGTTCCTCTCCTCAGAAGCCTCGTGCTTTGGTGGCACAAGTTTGCTCCTCAATCGGGAGAGGCCAGGCTTGTAAATCTCCAGATCTGGGCGCCTGTTGTCTTTGCGATGCCGTGGTTCCTTCACCTCCTTCATGTTTCCTAAGAAAAAATAGAGAAAAACATAGGAACGTTAAGGCTGGAGAAGATCTCTGACACCGTCAAATCCAACCAGCAGCCCACCCCCACCACACCCACTGAAGAAACCACATCCTCAAGAGCCACAACTCCACAGCTCTGGAACACCTCCAGGGTGGTGACTTTGCCACCTGTGCCAATACATCATTGCTCTTTCTGAGAAGTTGTTCCCGATATCCAATGTGAAAGAGAGTTATTCCCACCACAAACCACACGAGGATGAGAAAAGCTCACAACAAATATTCAAAGAGAAACATTATCTGAAGGCAAAGTATTAAAAACACCCTGAAAGCTGCTTCAAGAGAACGCACGTGAAAAGCTCCGTTGAGGCTCACGGGAAATCAATGAACGAGAGCAGGAAACGAAGCAGCCTGACAAAACTGACCAAATCCTGAACCCGACTCGCTTACAAAACATCCTGCAGCAGGTTTTGCCCCGAAGAACCAACGAGTTAACAGACAGACAAAGCACAGCGCCCGGCCCCGCTCTGCTCTGTGCCACAAAGCGAAGCACCGCCAGCGGCTCCTGGAGCGGCTCAACACAGCGTGACGCCAGGCACAGCCCCACCGCTCTGCTCTCAGGGCGGCATTTCCCCCTCCGTGCTCACAACCCGCAGCATCTTCCTCCCTCTCCCATAACCACATCGCCACAAAACCCCTCACGGAACGCAGCGCCCGACACAGCACAGCCCGCGCACAACACGCTGCGTTTCGCCCTCAATGCCCGCTCTGTGCCCGCTCCCCCCGCGCCGCCGCCGTTGAACCCCCGCTCTCCCTCAGCACAGCAACAACGGCGGCCCCGGGCCCAGCACACGCCCACAGGGCAGGCACGGCCGAGGCGAGGAGAGACAAAAGGGCCGAACGGCGGCTCCCCGCCGCCTCCTCCTCCCTCCGCCCGCCTCACCTGCTCCTCCTGCCGCCCCGGCGCGGGCCTGCGCGGCTACCATGTCCCGCAGCTCTGCGGCCGAGACGCGGACGCGCTCCAGCCCCTCCGCCATCTTGCTTCGCGCCGGGGCGGGGACGGCGGCCGCGCGGGGCCAAACTTCCTCGCGCGGAGCACGGCGGCTGACCGCGCGCACGCGCGCGACGCGGCCGGGAGCGGCGCGGCCATGGGCTCGGTGCGGGCGGCCGACGTGCGGGCGGCGATGGAGCGGCTGCGGGGCTGCGTGCAGCGCACGCCTGTGCTGACTTGCGGGTCCTTGCAGCGGCTGGCCGGCCGCAGGCTGCTCTTCAAGTGCGAGCTCTTCCAGCGCACCGGCTCCTTTAAGGTGCGGTGGGACCGTGCCGCGCCGGGGCGCCGGGGGAGCGGATCGGATCCCAGCGTCGCGTCTCGTTGCAGATCCGCGGGGCGCTGAACGCGGTCAGGAGCCTCGTGGAGGAGGTGGAGAAGGCGGGGCGGGAGCGGCCCCGAGCCGTCGTGACACACAGCAGCGGGAATCACGGGCAGGCGCTCGCTTGCGCGGCCCGGGATGAAGGTAACGCGTGGGGGAAAAGGTTAACGCGCTGAGCTGCAACGCGTGTCCACGTGGGGCAGGCGGCAGCACGGCCTCACACCGCTCCACCAACGGCCCCAGCCCTGCGGAGCAGCAGGAAGGCTCTTCCGTCTCCAGGCATGGCCCGACCCAAGCTCCATCCCCCTTTTTGCAGCATGTAAATTCCCTCCCGCAAATCTCGCTGTCCCAACAGGTATTCCTGCCTACATCGTGGTGCCCCGCACAGCCCCGCGCTGTAAGCAAGCTGCCATCCGTGCCTATGGGGCCACGCTGGTGCCGTGCGAGCCTAGCGATGAGGTAAGGAATGAGGGAGGGAGCAGCTGAGGACGCAGCTTCCCACCCTGCTGGGTCAACTGCTGTGCTTTGCCTTTAGTCCAGAGCAGAGACAGCTGCACGGGTGGTTCAAGAGACAGGAGGAGTCATGGTGCACCCCAACCAGGAGCCAGCTGTGATCGCAGGGCAGGGAACTATTGCCCTGGAGGTGCTGGAGCAGGTGAGGGGATGCAGCACGAGGGTATGGAGCTGCCATAGAAATGCTCACGTTTCTTTTCTGCGCAGGCACCAGAGGTGAATGCACTGGTGGTTCCTGTTGGGGGTGGAGGAATGATTGCAGGAATAGCAGTGGCCATCAAGGTAAGTAACAGCACAGTTTAGAGATGATGGTTGTATCTCCATCTTTGTCAGGGTGCCCGAGGCAGGCAGCAGCTTGTCTCTAAGAACAGAAATCCCTGCAAGCACAGCAACACAGCACAGGTACTCAAAGCAAGCCAGTGACTCTCCTGCTCTCTGCAGACATTGAGACCAGATGTGAAAGTGTTTGCTGCTGAACCCCGCAATGCAGATGATTGCTACCAGTCCAAGCTGAGAGGGGAACTGACCCCCAACCGACACACCCCTGTCACCATCGCTGATGCAGTTAAAACCAGCATTGGAGAAAACACATGGCCCATCATTAGGGATTTGGTCGACGATGTTCTGACTGTCTCAGAGGAAGAAATCAAGGTAAGCAATCTCTGCCTCCCCTCCCAGTAGCTGCCAGCAGGCAGCTGGCTCCATCCAAGCTCTGCTCCTCCGTTCTCATCCCTGCACTCTCTCAGGGCAAACCCTGTGCATCACAGCAGCTGTGCAAACACCAACACTCCTTCCAGCTGGAAAGAGCTGGCGGAAACTCTGCTCTCCCTCCCCAAAGTGCTGCAGAGCCAGATGCACATGCAGTGCCCCCCATAGCCCTAGAGGAGCACGTACTTGCTGCTGGGATGACAGCTGCTGTTCTGTCCCAACAGCGAGCCACACGGCTGGTGTGGGAAAGGATGAAGCTGCTGATTGAGCCAACAGCGGGTGTGGGAGTTGCAGCCGTGCTCTCAGAGCAGTTCCAGGCAATCCCCCGGGAGGTGGAGAATGTTTGCATCGTGCTGTGTGGAGGAAACGTGGACCTGAGCTCCCTGACCTGGCTCACAGACCTCCCTGGGGATGGAGAGTGAGAACAGAGCAGCGTATCCAGTGGCAGGAACCTAGCTTTGAATTTGTACAGTTGGGTTTGTACAATACTAAAAACCAGATGAACGACCCCAGAGGTTTGAAAGCTTCTGTGAAGGGGTAAGGAAAGATGGAGGTGGTCTCTACAGCCCAGAATCGCTTGGTTACAAAGCAAAGGGTGACTACAGGGAGCCTGAAAGCAAAGCACTGCTGCTTCTCCCTTTCCCAGCCATCCTGCTCTGGAACAGACCTTGAAGCAGACTGCACTCAGCCACTGCCCAGCTGCTGTTTCACCTTTCTGTGTCATCAGCAACCTCCAACAGACTCCTGTCTGATACAGCAAAATCCTCTCACCCACTGCTGTGGCAAAGCAAGAAGACAAAAGCCTCAGCAAGCCATAGGGCTCAGAGAGCAGCAGGGTGCTCACAGATTTCCATTTGGCCTCTACAGCTGGCCACCACCAAGACTTAGAGACTTAAATATTTTTTGAAAAACATTTCCATTAAAATAAATAACTGTAGTTGATCCTAAGCACCAACTGTTGAGACAGCTGCCCCAGTACAAACCCTAGCACTGATATTTCCAGGACATCAGTGTGCATGGTGTGCTTAGGCTGAGAACAGCAGCCGGGGAGGCACAAACTGCATTAGCACTGTGCCTGGAGGCTTATTCCATTTCCACCTCTTGCCCTGGCAGTGCACTCTCACTCCTCACCCATGGCACAGGCTCTGGAACATAGGGGTCATAAGTCCATTTAGGATAAACGCGCTTGTAGAGGTTCAGCAGCACGGTGTCCTGGGACTTCAGCTGTCCATCAAAGTGGCACTTCATGTGACCATGGGTCCCTAGGCAGAGAGCAGAAGAGGCCATTAGCTGTCACTCCTGCCCAGGAAAACCACATCCTGTTCATCATAAGAGACAAACACAGAACCAGACCTACCTAATGGCTCTTTTATATGCCCTCTACGACCCCATTTTGTCCTTAGCTCCACTGGTTTAAACCACATCACGTCCTCTGGAGAGCGAAATACAAACAGCACGTAAGCAACAGGCTTTGCCACAGAAACACAAGGCACAGTTGTTCTGCTTCCACATCCCCTCTTCCCAGAGCACAGACAGGCCATACCTCTGTTAAAGAACATGTATCGCACCACAGCTGCCTTGGTAAAGATCTTGAATGGATGACCACTGAGCACAAGCCGCTTGATGATGATTCTGTCTGGGTCAACAGCCAGCAGAGAACCCGTGGCAATGAGGTCGTGCATTCCTGCAAGATAGATTAATTAACACACCAGGGACCAGGGTAGCGTGACCAAATGCAACTCCATTACCTCCTACCTCACTACAAGCCCCTTCACCAAATAGGTCAAGGCCCAGAACAGCTCCCCAGCAGGAAGAAAGGTGCCAGTGGTAACAGAGAAGGAAAGCAGTTACTTTCTCAAACAGCATGAATTTTTCTTTTTTCAAGTTATACTTTATGAATAGATGCACTCTTGGTAAAGTATAGGAAAAGCCTGCTAACATTCATTTCTTAACACGCTCTCACACTAATCCAACTTACCATTACTTCTCTGTTTAAAAACAAGCACTGAGACAGGTGGGAAAGTGATGGGAGCGTAAACAGTCACCACCAGGGCAGTATCCGGGCGCAGGAAATGCTCCAGCTTGTGCTTATCAGCTAGGATAGAACAGCAGAAATCAAGTTCAATCCAACAAAAGTCCTCAGAGTTCTGAGAAGCCCCATTGAGCTTCTTTCCTAGCAAAGGGGCTCTGTGTTGAAAGATAGCAGGCTACACACAGCACTTCCCTGCTGGCACAGAGTATCTGGGAATGAATGTGATCCTCTGAGCTGCCAACTTGCTGCATGGAACTTGCCACTGCCTTGCCAGAACCAGAAAACCATGCTGCCCAAGCCCTCCCACTCCCCACTGTTTAGTGCCTCTCCTGGAAGCCTCAGTGCCCAGGTGTGTGTCTTCAGAAGAATCCTTCAGCCAGGTTCAGACATTGTGGCTAAGACATCACAGGCTTCCTGCCCTAGAAACCCTGGCCCCACTTCCTGGCATACCTGTTCTTTCCCCACCAGCCCCCTCACAAACCTGATGTGTGCTGGGAGAACAACGGGGAAGCTCGGAAGCGCCTGAACCCACAGTGGAAGATCAGCTCCTCCTTTGCCCTCACTGGATCACTGTTGCTTGGATGCCGCCGCACCAGGAAATTCAACACAGACATCTGCAAGAGAGACAGTGCTGTGAAACACTGACAGCAGGGCTGGCAAATAACATCAAGAGCAGAAAGCATACATTGCAACAAGGACAAATTCCCTTCACTGTGGCTTCCCAGATAACTGCTGGTCATCAGAGCCAAGCTCAGACGCTCTAGTCTGAAGACCTCTGGAAGCTTCAGGCTGCTCTGACCAAAGGAAGATCCTGTTTCAAAATGCAAGCAGTGCGTGGAAATCTTAGCTCAAGCCTTTTACAGCCAAAACCATGCAGCATCAGGGGAATCACATGAAGAGCTGCACACATAAGGAATCAGCAGAGCCAAACTTAGTCACCTTCTGTTCATGGGGAAGCAGTGAGAACAGGACTAGTGGCTTCCCTTCTTTGAAGCTCTCCATCACTGACACGGGGACATTGCAGACGTGCAGTGTAACATACCAGCCAACCTGCCAAGAGAGCATCAGTTGTGAATACTTCTTGCAGTAGGAAAAAAAAGTGTCAGGACAGATACAAGACCAAGATTAGAGAGGGAACCAAGAACAGCATCAACTGGAGTTACCGAAGCTCCTTCAGTCTCTTCTTTCTCTATTTGCCGGAAGAGGTGCTTTCTGGTTCGGGAGAAGTCCTGGAACTGGTAAATCCTTGCATAGTCCCTTGGGAGATTCTCTTTAGGGTCCCATGGAGAAGTCCTGAAGCTCTTGAGCCCTCGGTACTTCTGGAACCTTAAGGACAGACAACAGGAAAGACAAACTGATTCACAAATCCACAAAGACTAACACTAAGACTCCGCCTTCCTCCCCTCTCTCCCAGCTCAGGGCATGTTCTTTCTGC